AGCTTGTCGACTTTGCTGCTCGCTGTCGTCTAGACTACGCCGCGAGTCTTGTTGCCGAGTCTGAGTCTGTCTGTCCTCCGTCCGTCGGGGATGAGTGTGCTCTTGGCACGGACGTCCTTGAGGACAGACATGAGGAGTTTGAGTGCTTTGCCGCTGCTTTACCTCATCTCGTGTCCATGCTGATTGCCCCTCAGGGAGACCCGGATGCACCAGACATCCCGACCCCGCGCTCTTACGCAGAGGCGATAGAGGGTCCCTACTCCTCTCAGTGGCAGTCAGCCATGGACGCAGAGATGGCTTCCTGGAAGTCCACAGGCACCTACGTCGACGAGGTTCCCCCGCCTGGGGCGAACATCGTCAGTGGCATGTGGATTTTCAGGGTGAAGCGGCCGCCGGGTTCTCCGCCTGTCTTCAAGGCGCGTTACATTGCACGAGGCTTCAATCAGCGTGAGGGAGTTGACTTCTTCCAGACCTTCTCCCCTACCCCGAAGATGACCACTCTTCGGGTTCTGCTGCACGTCGCCGCTCAGCGTGACTACGAGCTCCAGTCTCTTGACTTCAGCACTGCTTTCCTACAGGGCAGCCTGCACGAGGAGATCTGGCTGCGCCGCCCACCTGGCTTCACTGGGTCGTTTCCTGCTGGTACCCAGTGGAGCCTCCGGCGGCCAGTCTACGGTCTCCGCCAGGCACCCCGTGAGTGGCACGACACACTGAGGACTACTCTTGCTGCTCTTGGGTTTGCTCCTTCTACTGCTGACCCGTCGCTGTTTCTACGCACCGACACCACTCTGCCGCCGTTCTACGTTCTCGTGTACGTGGACGACTTGGTCTTTGCTACTGCTGACACTGAGGCACTCGCCCACGTGAAGTCGGAGCTGCAGAAGAGACACACGTGCACAGACCTGGGTGAGCTGACAAGCTATCTTGGCTTGCGGATCACCCGGGACAGAGCACAGCGCACCATTACCTTGACTCAGTCACACATGGTGCAGCAGGTCCTTCAGCGCTTCCACTTCACGTACTCCTCGCCACAGTCCACTCCTCTGCCTACCGGCCACTCACTCTCGACACTCACGCTTCCTAGGTAAACCCTAAGTTACTAAGTCAAGAGTTAAGAGCGTGTTCTGACATGATATCAGAGCGTGGTCCCTCCTAGGACCTCGTTTTCATGGGCCCACCAAACCCGCGATCTGCCATGGCGACTTATTGTGCTGCTGGCATGGCTGCTACTGCTAGTAGCGCGAAATCCGCTGCTGGCTCGAAATCCGCTGCTTTTGCAGCACCCGTCGCGCTGCCCCCTTTCGCCTGCCCCGTCGCGCTCTGCCAGTGGCGAGCGTGCCAGCGAGGCGACGGCGGGCGCCAGCGCAAGCGCCAACGGCGGGCGCCAGCGCCAGCGCCAACGGCGGGCGCCAGCGCCAGCGCCAACGGCGGTCGCCAGCGCCAGCGCGGACGCCAGCGCCGACGGCGGGCGCCAGCGCCAGCGCCAACGGCGGGCGCCAGCGCCAGCGCGACGCCAGCGCCCAGCGCCAGCACTTCCGCCAGCGCCAGCGCATGGGGGGGAGGGGGATGAGGGGGTGGCGGGAGAGCTTCTGCCGCGCCAGCCACCTCCTCTCCTCTCCTCTCCTCCTCCTCTTCTCCTCTCCTCTCCTCTCCTCTCCTCTTCTCCTCCAGCCGCATCTCCTCCTCCTCTCTCCTCTCCTCTCCTCCAGCCGCATCTCCTCCTCCACTCTCCTCTCCTACAGCCGCATCTCCTCCTCCTCTCTCCTCTCCTCCAGCCGCCTCTCCTCTGCTCTCCTCCTGTGCACCACCACCAGCTTCCTCCTCCTCACCAACAGTTGTGTTTGCTCGTAGATGGCGAGCGACCAGCATCCTTCGCCCTCCGGCTATCCCAGCCCTCCTCCGCGCTCTCTGCGCCCTCCTCCGTTCTGGCGTTCACAGGTGCTGCCGGTCAGCCACCGCTGTTTCTGTGCCTATCCCAGCTACAGCAACCGCTCTCCAGGCGACCTGGTGCCAGACACCACTAGCTATAGCCGTAGGCAGTTACGGGGGTGTGTTGAATTATATTGCATATCCTAACTGCCTACAGCTTGCTAGTGTATTAGTTAGTTATTAGGTTCAACTGCTGGTGGTGTACCCTATCCTCTCCCCTATCCTATATCTTGTAAACATTCCTTAGTGAATGTCCCTCTTTGCCCAATTCTCTTGCCATGCTCACTCTCGACACTCACGCTTCCTAGGTAAACCCTAAGTTACTAAGTCAAGAGTTAAGAGCGTGTTCTGACAGAATTCTACCAAGGCTACTAAGTTCACTTCTGAGAATCACTGCCAGAACTCTGACCGTGTGTCCCACGCTAGTCAAGCTCTCCCGTAGAATAGTATTCTCCGCAGCTCAACTGGTACAATTAACACTTAGATCCGTAAGGTCGCTTGTTCGACTCTTGCTGTTGGGGAGTATTTTGCAGGTGCTCGAATAGTGTTTCGTCTCGATACGGAGCATTCGGTGTTAGTGTAGTTGTGACGTACCCTGTACAGTCAGAGAAACAAATCCCTTAAGCTGTTTTTCAAAGGGTAAAAAAAAACTTACGCTTTCTGGCCTAGGGTAAAAATCCCACTACCCTTTTTGGGAAAGGGTAACTGAAAAAAAGCGGCCGCCAGTCAGGGCAAACATGGTATTTTACCCTGATAACGAGAGCCCTGGAAGGGACGTCAATCAATCAGGTTCCTAGAAAATAAAATACGGTAGCAGTGATTAACTGTATTAAAGAAATTCAATGGCTGCCAACTCAATGTTCACTAATCAAATTTCACCAAAACGCAACATCTACAAACACTACTGCACCGAGAATCGAACTGGAGACTTCACCCAACCCCGCTGATTATGCCACCTGCTGAGCCAATTCGGGCTGCACAAGGTTATGTTTTTAACATATCATAACAAAAATGATAGGATGCATAATATGCAGTCGGTGTAAATGATTGATTAAAGAATACACTAGGTGGTTCACAACGCAATAGTGACAACAATTATCGTACAAACATCGGTACAACGAAAATGTGAATGTGTTTTTTATACTTGGTGGACCTGCCCAAACAAAACTGGAACTTTAAAATATACAACATAAATCTCTGGGGCGACAAACCCCTACTCGTTTACATTTGTATTCGATTGGTATTCGTGCATATTCAACTCGTATTCGTATTCGAGATACAGCCACAATTCGATCAAATACAAATCAGCCCCTCTATTCGACAAATTGAAGATTCCATGACTCGTATTCGTACTCGTATTCGTATTTACAGCCTTAACCTCAGTCACTTGACCTCAGTCAGTCGAGCTCAGTCAGTCAACCTCAGTCAGTCAACCTCTGTCAATTGACCTCCGTCGGTCGACCTCAGTCAGTCGACCTCATTCAGTCGACCGCAGTCAGTCGACCTCAGTTGATTGACTTCAGTCAGTGGACCTCAGTCAATTGACCCTGGGTCTCGATCGACCTTAGTCAAGTGAACGCATTCAGACGACTTCATTCAGTCGACCTCAGTCAGTCAACCCCAGGCAGTGGCATCCAGCCGTCCTAAATGTGCAACCCCCCGCACCCATGGCAGACTCTGGCGGGGCTGGTGTCGGTGATGGGCAAGCCCAGGGGCCATGGCAACTGGACGTGGGACAGGTGTCTCGCGGAGCAGCGCTGGGCCGCCTATCTTAACAACACCAGCTACTCCCGACCCGGCAACACGGGCGCCATGGTCTGCCTCTTCATCACGGACCAAGAGAGGTCAGTCAGAGGGTCAAGAGAGGTCAGTCGACCAAGAGAGGTCAGTGGACCCGGCTGGTGCACAGTCACTCCTCTCTCCTCGGCCCCTCGTTCCCTCGCCTCCCTTCTTCCCCCAATCACCCACCATATGACACCGTTCCTCCAGGCACATCCACATGATTCCGCCTCTGCTCCTGCCACCACCCACGCAACCACGCCCCCATCCCAAACCCTTCCCAACCTACCGTCCCATCCCGCATGCTCGCCGCCGCCCGGGGCACTCCCGCTGCTGTTCCGGTCCGTTCTACGTGCAGGCCTGCATTCGAGCAGCAGTACGGCGGCCCCATTCTCGACTTCTTCTTGTCGCGGCGGCAGCAGCAGGAGCTGTACTGCCCTAAAGTCCTAGAAATGCACGCGTACCGCGGCAATGTACTCATGATGGACCTCATGCAGCGCGTGGGCGGCGAGCTCACCTTCATGCACAGGACTGGGGACATTGCCTTCAGCCCGGTCGTGCCCATCGGCGCTCTCTCCCTCAACATCACTGGTTTTGGTAAGCCGCTGGAGCTGGTAACCTCGCCTTGCTAGTACGTCCGAGTGGCCTCCAGGACTTTATGTGACAGCGATGGTTGTTGTTGCCTATGTACAAGCAAAGGTGTTTCAATAAGTCACCGGTTGTCTTTGCCTTGCTAGCATCACCCGTTTTCTTCCAAAGTACCTCTCTCCACCCCCTTTTCTCCCTCTCGCCTCCTCTCCTGCATTCCTGGGTGCAGCCGTAGGGCTGCCCATCTTGCAGCATGCGCTGCCTCCGAATCCCTCGGAGCAGCAGGCGGACGAGGCGGTGCTGGGAGCAGCTGGGGCGAATGTGGACCTCGGGATGATCGCCTGCAATGTGCTGCAGAACGTGTTCGCACCAGGTGCTGAAATTCACGCCAGGTGCTGTAGAGCTTGTTCGCCTCCCTTTGTGCTGCACCCCACCGCTGTCCCTTGAAGCGCCCACATGCTTACAGCCTGCAACTATACCAGATGGGTAGCTTTCGTCTTTCCTTCCAAACCTTCCTTTCTCACCCCGTCCGCACTCCCTCCTTCCCTCTATCTCTTCCTCCCTGCCTCTCATCACCAGTCCCTTTTCCTATCCTACCCTGCTCTTTCTCAACCGTTCTTGCGTGGCTCTCTCTGCCATGACATTCCGCTTCCATGCATCCCGCATGGCCCTTCCGTCCCCCAGCTCCCAGCATCACATTCGAGGTGTATGACATCACGGACCCCCGTGGCCCCACAATGATCTACGGCCCGGGGCCCCGCTGTGTGTACTACCGTGACCGTGACATCCTGCCCTTCACCGGCATCTCCCCCCCCAACATCACGCGCCCCTGGGAGGAGCGATCTGTCGTGCCGCTCGACCTGCTCGGGGCCCGCCTGCGGCGCTACCAAGTGTGGTGCCGGTGAGTGTGCTGTGGTGTTGGTGAGTGCTGTGTGGTGCCGGTGAGTGATCTCTGGTGTCCCTGAGTGCTCTAAACCATTAACACTCAGCCTGATTCTTTCTCATGCTATGCCACTTCATTGCAAACCCACCACTTCTTCCCTCACCGCTCATTTGCCCCACGTGCTTGCCTTCACTCGCTCCTAGCTGCAGCACAGAAACATTCAACCACAGCCTGCTTGTTGCTCTCGCTCACGTTTTCTAGAACCTGCAGTTTTCACTCCCCTTTTAATGATAGCTCTTGTGAGAGTTCCAAGTGGTCTTCTCAATGCATCTTCGTGGTCCCTTCACTTCACCCCACCCAGTTACGTGGAGGCACCAAGCTCATGGCTCTCCTGGGGCGTGCCCTTCCTCTGGGCGGCTCTCGCTCTCATGGTCACAGCGCTGGTGGCGGCGGTGGCGTGGCAGCAGGGGGTGGGGTACGTGCGCAGCGAGGAGAGCATGACAGCGGCGGACCAGTTGAGAGCGAAGGCTCGGGCAGCGGAGCGGTCGAAGTGCTCGTTTGTGGCGTCCATGTCGCACGAGCTGCGCACGCCCATGCTCGGCATCGTGGGGCTGCTCGATGCTCTCGAGGACCGCCGCCTCTCTGCCGCCCAGCTGCACGACGTGCGGGTGGCACGTGCTTCCGCGTACGACACGGTGCGCCTCGTCAACCGCGTGCTCGACCTCTCCAAGCTCGAGGCGCGCCGCATGCCGCTCTGCTGCTCGCCCTTTCACCCGCACGCCTGGCTCGAGGAGGTCGTGCTGGGCTATTGTGAGCGGGCGTGGGACAAGGGCATCGAGGGTGAGTGCATGTGACAAGGGCATCGAAGGTGAGTGCATCAAGGGCATCTGCACGAGTGCATATGCGCGAGGAAGGGGGCGTTCAGCAGGTCAGAGTGCATCAATGAAGGTACCTTTTCCTTGCCACTCCAACATAGTGCACATGCAACTAGGCTGGGTTCTCGTGCATGCAGGCTGGAGTGGCATTGCCGAATGTCCGATGGACACTTCGTGTCAAAATTCCAGCCATTCCACCACTGGGATAAAATGAGTTCACTTCGTAGCGAGTGAGTTCGCCCATAACCCCCCAGACTTTGCACCTGTAACCGTTCTCTAGGATCAATCGGGATTTTCCAATGCACAATGGCGCAATGGCAGCAACGCCCACGCCAACATATGCACACTGGGGATTCTAATCCGAGACCTTTGCTCTGATACCATGTCAGAATCCTAGTCACTAAATAGCAGGTGATTGCGCCCATAATCCTTCAGGCTTTGCACTTGTAACCCTCCCTAGGATCAATCGGGTATCCCCAGTGCAGGGCTTCTGACACTCCGCGCCACTGCCATGAGTGTGGTTCGTGGCAGTGGGCGGGTGGCATGTCGTTGTATGCTTTGCACCTAACTCACAAAATTACTCCCCACTGCTTGTGCTGTGCCTGGCGTGGCTCTGGTCTGGTGTGGCAGTGGCGGGCATGGTGGATACAGGAGTACCTGTTGTGTTGCATATGGACACCATGCGACTCTCACAAGTACTCAACGAGCTCATAGGTCAGTTCAGCATGACAAATCCATCGCTCCCACCCTTTACCCAACCTCCCCCATTCCCACACTCTCCTCCATCCCCTCCCTCCTCTTCTTCCTTCCCCTTTCCCACCCCTCCTTTCTCGGGGATGATGAATGCTTTCGTGTAGCAAGTCAGCACTTTTGTGCGTCTCCCCATGTGCTGTTCACATCACCATGTTTGATATTCAAAGCTGTTCTGTGTTCCCAACCCAAACGCCCACCCCAACCACACCACCGCCACACCGCCTGTAGACAACGCGATGTGCAACACAGCGAGTGGGCACGTGCTGGTGCGCGTGTCCGTGTGCCCCACTGCTACCTCCCTGGAGGACTTCATTCGCCACCACCTCCGTGAGCGCTGCTTTGTTATCACCCTTCACTCACTCAACTCCCCCTCTCCCTCTCTCTCTAGACTGAAGCTGCGTTTTTGCCTGCCATTCACTGCTCTCGCCGTGCGACTCACTTTCCTTGTTACGCCATGCGACACTCACTGTTCCTCCCTTCCCACTCTCTCCCCCCCCCTTCCCCCCCCACCTCCCGTCCCCTACCCGCCCTTGTTTCGTTCCTCACAACTCTTCCCTGCTGCCTTCCTTGGATCCCTCTCCTGCACCCGACTATCAGACGCCCCGCTCCACCACCACACTCCTCCGCCACCGCACCCCTGGTCCCTCTCCTGGTTGGCCTGCCTGCACACACACCTGGGGCTCCTTGTCCGTAGAGCAGCTGCGGTGTGCTGGGGGGAGCAAATGGAGGATCAGGGAGTGCCATATGATCGTGAGGGGAATGAAGAGCTCTCACAACCCACATATGACGCACACACAGCCGTTGCAGTGCTGGGAGAGGAGGAGCAAGTGGGAGACGTGAGGGGTGAGGGTGAAGGGGATGGCTCTGGGTGGAGGAGCAGCGGCGGCGGTGGAGAGGAGATGCAGCTGGTGCTGTCGTGTGTCGACACGGGCTGTGGGTTTGATGCATCGTGGGAGGAGCTTTCAGAATTCAAGGTGAGAGCATGAGGACACGATGCAAATGTAAGGGTGGGATGGCAATGTGGCATGACGGTTGGGTAGTTCTTCATTTTGAATCACAGGCAGCATTGTGTCTCCGTATAAGCAAACTTCTGTGGTGGGTCGTGTCATATTGACCTGGCTCTCTTTCTCTCTTAATCATGCAAGTCGGTGCACAAGGCTCATGAAAATGCGTCACCTTATTCGACTGTGTGTGGTACCCTGCAGGGGCGATCGGAGAGTGGAGGAGCAGGCCTGGGGTTTGTGCTCGTGCACCAGCTGGTGAGCCTTCTCTGAGATTCTCCCATCCCGTGCTCCCCTCCTAGTGTGTCTCGTCACCTCGTACCAACCACGTGAATTGGATTGGAACAGATGTGTCCCGCGTTGTGGACACGAGCGTCAAAACGTTGGCGTCAAAATGATGGATGCTAGATTCCAAACATTTTGGACGCCAGAGTAACGTTCCTCTCTTCTCTTCTACTGAGGTGAGATCATGCAATCATAGGTCCCCCTCCCTTAACGCCTCACAACCAGCAGCAGTGGGCTCACTCGCTGATGCTGCCCTCTCCTCACCTGCTCTCGTTATCCTCCGTCCCCATGTTCCAAATCCGCACCATGCGCCACCAGTGCCTGCCACCATACCACCATGCACCGTCCCTTCTTTCTCTCCTCCCAGCGCCTTGCTTGCACCTCTCGCGCCTTCTACTCGCACCTTCCTCTCAAACGCTCACATCGCACCTTCTGACATTACCTCACCTCACCATACGTTACGTTCATTGTGTTGACGCCCCTGCATGTGCTGCTGCTAGATACCGCGTTTCGCCACATTCACATTCTCGTCACAAGGTCTGAGCTACGAAAGTGGTCTGTGTGTTTGCCTGACCCGATCCATTTGCCGTACCTGCTCGTGGCATATCACCTCCTCGGAGCAGCAGAGGGTTGACATGCGGCCTAGTGCCCCCTCCACCCCTTTTCCCGTTACTCTCCACCATCCCGCACCCCCCCTCTTCCATCCCCTCCCTCCTACCATGCCCCATTCTCCCCCCAGGTGGCCCTCATGGGTGGCCGTGTTGCCTGCCTCTCCCACCCCGGCACCGGCTCCACCGTCGCTTTCTCCGTCCCCTTCGCCCCAACCCGCCGCCCTCCCCCTCCTGCCGCTCCTCCCCCTCCTGCTGCTGTTGCTCCTGCTGCTGCTCCTGCAGCTGTGCTGCTGCTGCTGCTTCTCCCCCGCACCCTCACCACACGAGGGAGGCAAACAGGAGAGGAGAGGGGGGAGCAGAAGAGGGGGATGAGCGGGTGGCAGGGGATTCACGGGGATGTGACTCGTGGTTGGGGAACAAGGGCGGGCGTGGCAGCAGCTGGATGGTCTGGAGCGGGCTGAGAGGGTTGAGAGGCAAAGGCAGCGACAAGGGGAGAGGGAGAGGGAGAGGCGGATCGGAGTAGGGGTTAGCAGCATGGCTGTGTGGCATGAAGGGCAGGCGGGAAAGAGAGCCGCGGAAGGTGGAGGCGAGGGGCCATGCAGAGTGCACGAGGGGCATAGAGGGAGTGGCTGTGGGCGTGGTGGGGCCGGAAGGCAGCACGAGGGAGGTGAGGCTGCTGGGGATGCGGAGGGTTGCACGGTTGTACTTGACGTGGAGGGTTGCATGCGGCCATGGGCTTGTGTGTGTGTGAAGGGGACGGTGGATCGGTGGGTGCAGATGAGCGTTGTTTCACTCACATCACCGTCACCCATAGCTGCCACCCTCTGTAACGCTCTGTTGTTCTTCCCCTCCCCGCACTCTTTGCATCTAATCCCCTTGCTGTCCCCGTGGCAGCTCACGGCGCTCATGCTGGCGGGTCTCGGAGCACACGTGCACTTGCTGCCCTGCGCTCAGGACTCACTGCAAGGCGCTGACGCCCGTGCTGCTGAGACGGGGACAAGCGGTGCGGAGGGGAGCTGCGAGGATGCAGCGAGGGCACAGGGGGGGTTGGAGGAGGTGAGAGATGGCGTGTGCAGAGGGAGTGGCTTGTGTGGTCACGCGGGTGGGGGGGTCACGGAGGAGGGGGGAGGGGAAGGTGGTGCGGGAGAGGTAGGGGATGACGAAGTGGGCAGGGAGGGGATGCCGTGCGTGGTGGTGGTGAGCGAGGAGGATGCATGGTGGCAGCATGGAAGGAGAGCAGCAGCTGGCATGCGCTGGGACAGTGAGCCTGATGCGAGTGGGAGGGCTCACCACCACGGTGGGCATGCGGATGGTAAGGGCAGATGCGCGGGTGTGGTGGTGCTGGCGCCGGGTGAGGCAGCAGCATGGCAGGCAGCAACAGTGGGGCTTGTGAGGCGCTGCATGGCAGCACACAGGGGTGGGGGGCGAGAGGCGTGGGGTGGGGAGGAAGGGGTGGATGGGGAAGCAGGGAGAGAAGAGGGAGTGGAGGGAGGGGGTGGATGGGCAGGGAGGCGGTTACAGGGAATAGAGGAGAGCCCCACGTTAGAAAGGCAGCTCTGCTGGGACAGAGTGGCAGGGATCGTCATTCTTTCCACGTACGCTGCTGGATCCTCAGGGGAGGTGGGGGCCGAGGTGGAGAGGGGGAACCAGTGGGAGGGGGAAGATGGGGAAAGGGGGGATGAGTGGGAGGGTGTGGATGCAGAGGAGGGGGGAGATGAGAGGAAGTGGGGGGACGAGGGGGACGAGGGGGAGGGTGGGGACGAGGGGGTGTTGGGCGATAAGGGGGGCGATGAGGGGGGCGATGAGGGGGGCGATGAGGGGGGCGATGAGGGGGGCGCTGGGGACTGGAGGAGAAGGGTTGAGGACAGCAGTAGAAGTGCAGGAGAGGGAGAGCAGGTGGAGGTATGTGGTGATGAAGGGCGGGCAGGGAGCGTTGGTGGAACGAGGCAAGCATCGACCGATTCGTGTTCTGCTGCTTCTGTAGCCTCGCCACCACCCAGCACTGCATCTGCCGGCGCTGCTGCTCCCCGTGTGGTGGTGTGCTGCCGCCCGCTGCTCTCCCACCGCCTGCTGCTCGCCGTGCAGGTGAGCTGGACACGGCTCTGTGTGGCTCTCCGAGGATCTTGCTCTGTTTGTGTCGCTCTCCACTCCCCGTCACTCATGCTGCCAAAAACGGCTGTGAGCCGGCTGTCACCTGCTGGGCTTCAAGAAAGCGCCCATGTCGTGAGGGTGCGCCCTCTTACCTGTAGTGGTCAGTGTTGGCTTTTGGAAAACAAAAACAAAACACGGTTTTCACCGGCTGGGCTTTCAGGGTCGCCTCACGCAGTGGGTCGGTGTGGCCGCCTGACCAAACCCGCAAAATCCGCAGTGGGTTGCCTCTGCTCCTCTGCTGTGCTCTGCACCTTGCCTCACCATTCACTTCTCTCCCCCCACGCCCATCTCCATCCCCTGCAGTTGGCAGCATATGGAGTGGATTTCAAGAGTGTATACCCTGGCCATGTGGGGTACGAGTCGCAGGAGAGCCCTGAGCCTGCCCGTCAAACACAGCAGGGGAGCGACATGCAGCAGCAGAGTTTAGACATGCAGAGTAGTAAAGCAGGGTGTGATGAGAGAAGCGACGAGCAGCAGCAGCATGGCAGCGGCAGTGGCAGTGATGAGATGGGGGATGAAGCAGGGCGTGGTGAGGCCAGGCAGGGTGGCAGTGTGGGGGGTGAGATGAGCGACTGTGCTTCAAAGGACCTGAGTGGGCGCACAGTGGGGAGGAGCGTGAGCATGCATGCTGCAAGCTTGGCAACAGTTAATTCTCCTAGTTGCACTGCAGGACGGAGGGTAGCATCAGAGGCAGCAGCAGGGGGGTCAGGGGGGGTGGTGGCGGGGTGGCGGGTGCTGGTGGTGGACGACACGGCAGTGAACTTGCCAGTGGCCCGCCGCACGCTCACCCGCTGCGGCGCCACCGTCAGCACGGCGGGCAGCGGGGAGGAGGCGGTGTGGCTGGTGGCGGCGGCTGTGAGTGCGGCAAGCGATGGCGCGGCAAGCGATGGCGCGGCGGCGCATGGCAGCGCTGTGCTGGATGTGGTGCTCATGGACCTGCAGATGCCCGCCATGGACAAGTCAGTCGTGCCCAGCGGTGGTGAGCGGTGGCATGGATGGGTGAGTGGTGATGAGTGGGTGAGTGGTCATGAGCGGTATGCCATGGATGGGTGAGTGGTGGTGCATATAGAGGGTATGGATGGTTGAGTGGTGGTGAGTGGTAGTGCGTCGATGGGTGTGTGGTAGGAATGGATGGCCATGCTAAGACGCATGACATGGGTACAGTGGAGGTGGGGGGAAGTGTGACATGTGCAAGCAGAGTGGCAGGAACCTTCTTGAGTATTTCTTGAAGGTTCCTGTGCAAAGTCCCGGGCTGAAACAACGTGGAATTCAATGGTCGGTGACCTGAACCCATACAGGTGGTCAGTCAGTGAACATAACCGGTGTCAGCATTTAGTCCAATTGAAAATGAAGGAATGAAAATGAAATATTATTCACTGTTTTGCACATTCACTCTCTCTGCTTATTTTCCTGTTTGATGATCCTCCTCACAGCACCCTACACACCCTTGGTCTCTGCTGCCTGTGCTGTGCTGCCTGTGCTGTGCTGTGCCGCCTGTGCTGTGCTGCCTGTGCCGCACTCCTCCCAGGTTCATGGCAACAGAGGCAATACGCGAGCTTGAGAGGGCTGCAGCCCTGTGGTGCTGCGTCTCACTCTCTCGCTCCAGTCCCCACGATGCCACGAGTGCCCATTCTGGCTCTCACAGCAGATGTGGATGCTCACATCACGCAGCGATGCCTTGCTAGTGGCTTCGATGGCATTTTACAGAAGCGTATTGACCCCAAGCAGCTCACCAATCTAATGCTACGTATAGAGAAGCCTCCTCAGTTGGGACCTTTGCGAGCAATCTCACATCCACCATGATCGCTATGTGTCATCCATCCCTTTGTTCTCAATTTCCTGTGATACTGTAGTCAAGCTAACGGGTCGTGCGTTGTACATGAATGATGTTTTGTACCATTCTACCGTCATCGGCCGGATAGAAGATAGTGTTGAATTGAAGGCATGGTGATTTTTATACGGTACCGTACCGTATGGCCCCAGATATATGTGCAGGCCTATTAAAAGTGCATGTGCTTACATCTGGAGCAATGAACTTATGGTCGACTTGTAAAACCCTGACTTATTACAAGCGCATGCACAATTTTGATTTTAAATCTTGATCAAAACGGTACCGTCATCGCCCGGATAGAAGACACATATGTCTTGTCTTAAAAACATGGTTGGGTTGTCTTGTATCTGGGAAGGTTTAGGGTGTCATATCATTCTTACCAGGGGCCAGATTCATTGAATTCGTTTGGGAAGGTTTAGGGTGTCTTATAATTCTTACAAATGGAAAAAAATTACCGTATTACCCCGGATACGGTATAAGCGTAGGTGCGCTTATAATAGAACGTGTCAGAACATTATAGCTCATGCATATTGTGTAGGCTATAGTGGGGCAGTCCATAAGGGGTACAACCCAATTAGGGTTAGTACTTGTACCCAATTCATTCATAGTTCATTCATCCCTTGTTTCTTCTCATGGTATCGAGCAGGTTCCCTAACGGGAACGATTCCTAGGGCCCACCACTACGAGTTTTTTTTTTCCTGCCCGGAGCGCGCTTCGCTCCGGCCCGAGTCGCGCCCGGTGTGCTCTCATCACCGTCGCGCCCTCACTAGGCCCCTCACGGCCCCCTAGCGCCGCCCTTAGCGGGCCCGTCGCACTGCCCTTCGCGGCCGCGTCGCGCCGCCCTTTCGCGGCCCCGTCGCGCCGCCCTTCGCGGCCGCGTCGCGCCGCCCTTTCGCGGCCCCGTCGCGCCGCCCCTTTCGCGGCCCCGTCGCCGCCCTACCTGCGGCCTCGTCGCCGCCCCTTTCGGCGGCCCCGTCGCCGCCCTACCTGCGGCCTCGTCGCCGCCCTACCTACGGCCCCGTCGCCGCCCTACCTGCGGCCCCGTTGCCGCCCTACCTGCGGCCCCGTCGCCGCCCTACCTGCGGCCCCGTCGTCGCCCTCCCCTGCAGCGGCCTCGGTGCCTACTCCTACGGCCCCGGCCCCTGCTCCTACGACCCCGGCGCCTACTCCTACGGCCCCGGCGCCGCCCTTCCCGGCTCCGACGTCGCCTCCCACCGGCCCCTCCGCCGTCCCTGATCAGGAGCCGCAGCCGCCACGCCGCCCAGCGACCGAGCCGCCGGGCCGCCGAACCGCCCAGCAGCCGAGCCGCCGGGCCGCCGAGCCGCCCTGCTGCCGAGCCACCCGAGCCGCCGAGCCGCCCTGCCGCCGAGCCACCCGAGCCGCCCAGCAGCCGAGCCGCCCAGCAGCCGAGCCGCCCAGCAGCCGAGCCGCCCAGCAGCCGAGCCGCCCAGCCACCGAGCAGCCCAGCAGCCGAGCCGCCGAGCCGCCGAGCAGCCGAGTCGCCGAGCCGCCCTGCAGCCGAGCCGCCCAGCCGCCGAGTCGCCGAGCCGCCCTGCAGCCGAGCCGCCCGAGCCGCCCTGTCCGGTAAGAGCAGCGCCTCTCTCACAGCACTGCCCTCACCCTACTGTTTGCGCTACTAGTCTACTGCTGTCATGGCTACCCCTAGTGTCCTCGCTTTTGACGCTGAGGGTCGGGCCATTGACTTTGAAGTCTGGATAGATGACCTGCAGCTTTTCTTACAGTGCGATAGGGCAGACGGCCTCTCCCTCTTTGACCTCACTTCTGGTGCCTCTCCTGCCCCCGTTGCTGATGCTGACGCCACTGTTCGCTCACAGTGGGCCACGCGCGATGCTGCTGCACGTCTTGCTGTGCGTCGCCACCTGCCTACCTCTGAGCGTGCACACTTTAGCCAGTACAAGAGTGCTCAGACCTTGTACGACGCTGTAGTTGCACGCTACTCCTCCCCTGCCACTGCTGCACTGAGCCGCCTCATGCTACCGTACCTCTTCCCTGACCTTGCTGCCTTTCCCACAGTCGCTGACCTCATTACGCACCTCCGCACTAGTGACACTCGCTACCGCGCTGCGCTTCCTGCTGAGTTCTGCGCCAAGAACCCCCCCCCCATGTACATCACCCTCTACTACATAGTCACCCGTCTCCCTGACTCCCTTCGCGTAGTCAGGGACCACTTCCTCTCGGTTTGCCCCACCACTCTCACTGTTGACCTCCTCGAGAAGGCCCTCCTAGCAGCAGAAAAGAGCATAGTCGCTCTAGGAGCCTCTCGTGGTGACCCTCGCACCCCCATCTTTGAGGGGTGTTCCCCCTCCCCTCTTTTGCCCTCTGTTGCCTCTGCTGCTGCGGCCGACCTCGCTGGTTTGGAGTCGGTTGGGGCAGCGTCTACCCCTAGCGGGAGACGCCGCCCTGGCAAGGGCAAGGGGGGCAGGGGCGCTGGAGGAGCTAGCGGGGGCGGTGGAGGCGGCGGTGGGGGCGGTGGAGGGGGTGGGGGTGGCGGTGGGGGTGGTGGCGGGGGTGGAGGTGTCGGTGGCGGCAGTGGAGGCGGAGGCGGCAGCGGCGGCGGCGGAGGGAGCGGAGGTACTTTGGTGCTATTCTTGCTGCCATGTATACTGTGACTATTAGTGATGAGGGTGACTGTTACCGGTGTTTTCCGCCCGACCCGGGCATTGAGACTGCTGCTCTAGGTACTGGTGAGGCTGCTGCTCTAGGTGCTAGCGAGGCTGCTGCTCTAGGTGCGTCTGCTCCCTTAGGTGCTGGTGAGTCTGCTCTCTCAGGTTCTGCGTCGGCTTCGGCCTCCCACACCTTCACCCTTGACTCGGGGGCTTCTCGCTCCTTCTTTCGAGACCGCACCACACTCACGCCGCTTGGCCGGCCAGTTGCAGTCTCTCTGGCAGACCCCTCTGGGGGTCCTGTCCTTGCTCACTTCTCCACTGTCCTCCCGTGTCCGGCGGCCCCCTCTGGCACCCTGTCTGGTCTTTACCTCCCCTCGTTCTCTACGAACTTGGTGAGTGGTGCTGACCTACAGGATGCGGGGGTTCACCAGTTCACTCCTGCGAGTCAGCGGGTGACCCACTGCACGGACGCTCGGACAGGCCGACACCTGGCCACGTTTACACGTCGGCCAGGGTCGAGCCTGTACACACTGACCACTGCGTCTCCTCCAGTCCCTGCGTCTGGTCAGGTAGCTGCGTCGGGTCAGGTGTTTGCTGCAGCGTCCAGGTCTGGTCCTGAGTCTGCCCCCTGCTTGTGTCGCCTCCTGTCTCACGAGACTCTCCTCTGGCACCACCGCCTTGGTCACCCCTCCCTGCTTCGTCTCCGGAGCATGGCCTCCCGTGTCCTTGTCTCTGGTCTTCCCCGGTCCCTCCCTCCCCTTCCTCCGGGGCCTGGCCCTACCTGCGTCCCCTGTGTCGAGGGACGGCAGCGGGCTACCCCTCACTCCTCCCAATTTCCTCCGACAGAGGCCCCGCTGCAGACGCTTCACATGGACGTGTGGGGCCCGGCCCGCGTCCGTGGACAGGGTCACGAGCGCTACTTCCTGCTGGTGGTTGACGACTACTCGCGTTACACCACAGTCTTCCCCTTGCGCAGCAAGGGTGATGTCACTGAGGTGTTGATCGACTGGATCCGCGCAGCTCGTCTCCAGCTCAGGCGGAGCTTCGGCTCGGACTTTCCTGTTCTGCGTCTGCACTCTGACAGAGGCGGAGAGTTCTCCTCTGGCCTTCTGCGAGCCTACTGTCGTGCACGAGGCATCCGCCAGACCTTCACGCTTCCGGACTCTCCACAGCAAAATGGGATTGCTGAGCACCGCATTGGCATGGTCATGGACGTCGCCCGTACGTCCATGATGCATGCGGCTGCCCCCCATTTTCTGTGGCCGTTTGCGGTTCGGTACGCGGCGCATCAGATCAACCTTCAGCCCAGGGTCTCCATGCCGGAGACCTCCCCAGCTTTGCTGTGGACGGGGAAGGTTGGCGATGCGTCTGCGTTCCGTGTCTGGGGATCTCGGGCGTTTGTCCGCGACTTGTCTGCGGACAAGCTGTCCCCTCGTGCTGCTCCTTGCGTCTTCCTGGGTTTCCCCCCTGACGCCCCAGGGTGGCAGTTCTACCACCCCACCTCTCGCCGTGTTCTGTCCTCCCAGGACGTCACGTTCGACGAGTCGGTCCCCTACTACCGCCTCTTCCCCTACCGCACTCCGTCCCTCCCCCCG